CATCCGCTCCGCCACGCCATTTTGTTGAGGAGTGTACGCTGCTGTGAACTGCCTCTTGATGCCTTCTTGTTGACAGAATATATCAAACTCATCGCTTGTATATTCTCCTCCATTGTCAGTCCTTAGACACTTGATCTTCTTTTCAGATTCAAGTTCCACCCACGCTTTGAAAACTTTGAAGACTTCAAAAACATCCGCTTTCCTTTGATTGGATACACCCAACATCGCCTGGGGTAATCATCAATCAAAGATACAAAGTATCTCGCCTCTCCGAGGGATGATACCGGTGCTTGCCAAACATCATAGTGGATCAATTCAAAGATGCCTTTGCTCTTAGTTTTTGATGTGCTGAACCTTAACCTGTGTTGCTTGTAACACAATGCTCACAAAACGGTAATTTTACTGAGCTGAGCCCAGAGAGTAGTGTCTCTTTAGAGATAATCGTCAAACCTTGTTTCGACATATGACCGAGCTTCTGATGTCACATCATCGTTGATTTTTCTCCCGAACTCATCGATGTAAAAGCATGTACAGATTTGCAGCAATTTTTTCCGCCTTCATCACCACAAGTGCACCTTTAACAATTTTCATGATCCCATTCTCAATGCGGATCTTGCAACCTGCATCATTTAATTGTTCCAAATACAATAGATTATTCTTCAGTCCTTTCACGTGTCGTACTTTCTATATAGTACGAACAATACCATCATACATCTTCAGTTTGATAGTGCTGATACCAGCGATCTCCAAGGCACGATCATTTCCCATGTACACTGATCTTTCTAAGATTGGTTCATATTGATGAAACCATTCTCTCCTAGTGGTCATGTGCCATGATGTTCCCGAATCTAGTGTCCACACATCAATGAACTTCTATCTGCCTTCAACAATTGTTGTTGCCTTGCTGTATAAGACGTTACCATCATCTGAGGTACTTGCCACATTCCCTTGAGAATTCTTCTCTTCAGTCTTCTTAACCTTACACTCCTTCTTGAATGCCCCTTCTTGTCACAATTGTGACATCTCATGTTCTTTTTCTTCTAGATTTTGATCTACCATGACTTTGACTTCTATTGGGGCCACGTTCCATTGATCTCCCTCTCATCATCATCAAAGCTTCTGTCTGCTGTGAACTTGCCAACATGTCTTCCTTGTTCTTGCGCCGACTTTCTTCTTCGAGGACTGGGCCTGCAACATTTTCGAAGCATAGGCTTTCTACAACATTACTATTGGCTATGTTGATGATGAGTTGATCATACGAATTAGGTAAACTTTGAAACAGAATCTCTGCACATTCATTTTCCTCTATCTTCTGACCCAATGATGTAAGCTGAGCGAATAGAGTATGCAGGTTGTTGATATGGTAGGTTATCAGTGTGGATTCTGCCATCCGAAGAGTATAAAGTTTTCTTTTCAAGAAAAAATCTTGGTGTGAAGTGACTTGGACTCGTACAACTTCGTTAGAGTATCCTAAATTTCTTTCGTTGTTTTCCCCTTTGCAATACTTGATAGAACCTCGTCTGCTAATCCCATGTGCAAATTGGCAATAACATTACCATCAATCTCATTCCACTTGCTATCATCCGTGATTTCTTGCGGTCTTTCTCCGATAGCCGCCAGACAATTATCCTTTCGTGAAAGTGCCTACATCTTCATTTTCCACAACGTAAAATTGATTCCATTGAACTTCTCTATTTTGAATTTTTCAGTCATTTCGTGATTTGCTTAACTCCCACCGTTTCACTATACTTGTGAACAGTACTCGAGTAGTAATTGTACTGACTAGGTAATTCTCAGGAAAGACTATAAAAGAATACACTATTTCTATCAACAAAGGATATATATGGACAGTCTCTTAGACAGAACCACCCTACTAAGCAAGTTTCTAGGAAAGGCGTGGAGGGTCTCAAGTGGATCACTCAAGTTCCAGCCTCCTAGACATAACCTACTTACGTCGTACTTATTCGCATCGTGAACAGCATCGTATACATGAATAGTAACTCTGTCGTAAACAGTTACTTCACTTGGATGGCTCTAATACCACTTGTTAGCAAATCTGGCGGTAAAATGAGAAATGAGTAAAAATGAAGATAATATGGACACAGAGTATTTTTCGTGGAAAACCCCCAAAGGAGACGGGATAAAAACTATGGTACAAGTGTAGAAGGATTTTACTATGAAAAATGTGTATTACAACATTCTCTCTAAATTATACAGAGAAAACAATAAGAACTACTCTCTCATGTAAATAGGAGAAACACCTCACAAAAGAAGAAAAACTAGAGAAACTAAATTTCTCTCACTATGAGCAATTTTTTGGTACGCTGGCGTACCGATAGGTCAAGTGTTTTTAGATATGCGTACTTTTTGACTTTTACGTGCTTTTATGCATATCTGACGGGTAGAAAACCTGACCTACTGGTATATTAGTATACCGAAGAAGGTTTTTTTTTTCTCACTATGAGCAATTTTTTGGTACGCTGGCGTACCGATAGGTCAAGTGTTTTTAGATATGCGTACTTTTTGACTTTTACGTGCTTTTATGCATATCTGACGGGTAGAAAACCTGACCTACTGGTATATTAGTATACCGA